TGCGTTCACACCGCAAAGCTTGAGCACGGCTTGCCAGAATTCCTCCTTTCAACCACATAGTCTATGTGATGGAATCTGTTGTATTCCACACATTTCGTCAGGACAGAATCAGCACATCTGAAACCTACTGCAGTGACCAACGGTGTTTCTCGGCCTTTCCTAGCACTGACGTATTCGGAATTGCTGAGCTATAGCCAAGCACGGCGGTATCTCGCTCTGCGCGCAGGCCGCGCGGTGGCTCCCAGCGCACGGCACCGTGCGGCCAGGCCCAGGGAAGGGCTCCCGGGCCGTGTGCGCGGCCCGGCGGAGGCGAAGGTGCGTCCTGCTCCGATACATTCCTTGTATCACCTTAATGCTCTTCTAGTCCAACAGAGAAAAGAAGACATAATAAAAACATTGCACGTGGTGTTGTGAGTTTTGTTCACACTTTCTGTTCCGTCCGCCACACTCGTCAGTTCCTTACTTTGGGGCAATCAGTTTTCTGCATGACTTCTCACTGTGGCTTCTTTTTAAAATTATAACGATATATTACTTACCGTCGTGATCTTAGATAGCTTTCAGTACAATAAAGTTGTACCACAAGCTGCAAAAAATTAGCTTTTGATAATAAAGTGGACACGAGGGGTGGAAGCAAGGCAAGAGAAAAAAACCCTGCTTCTATTAAACAGCGTCTGCTTTACATTCAATTCACTGCATGGACTTAATGTTCCCAGTCCACTAAGTGGATGTTAAGCTGTGGAATAGAAGGCAGGATATAGCCTGGCTTCTGTGGAAGAAAAGAACTGCACTTATCCGGCCTACCTCCATCTCAAGACTTCTAAAACAAAGAATATTCAACCTTAGGTTCTCAGCATATCTTTTTTTCTCCTTAGCTTGTAGTGTATTTTACTTCGAACTTGGACAACTTTCTCTTTTCTCTCTCCCTTCAGGTCATCCAAAGCATATCTCATTACTGGTGTTTGCATTTCCAGCTCCAGTTCCCTACTTCAAGAGGTTTTGGTGTGTGTGCGCGTGCACCCAATTCATTATTATCAGGTCAACTTTTTAAATTTATACTAGCTTTCTTATCGTGATGTATCTTGCAGTGTAGCCTCCTGTGAAAAGTTATAAACCCTGACTCAATTTTTAACACAATGTGTCTTTAGTTTGACTAGTGTTAGACACTGAGATTCTGTGGTTTATGTGTTGTGTACGTGTTTTAAAGTGGCTTGTACTGGTACAGTATAATGTAAATAATAAATAATACTGTGCACTATTCATTATGCAATCATGAGCTTCCAAGAAAAACATGATAAAACTCTCTAATGATGACACAGTGAAGCAATTACTTCCTCATGGCATTACTCAAGAGGTTTACCAGCGCTACCACTGCATCTTGTTCCCTCGAGGAACATTGCCACCTAGCAACAAAGCATCCTCTCAGGCTTCTGGATAAAATCTATACAGAACTGCCCTGGCACCAGCTCTCAGGGCATGCTCAAATAATTTTGGAAAAATTGTTTTTGTCATTTTACCACTTAGCACTCAATGCCAGCTGGCTTTCTGCAGAACAGGGGAGGAAATAAAATATTTAAAATATTTAACTATTACTTTTTTTTTGTATGGAATATATATACAAAAAAGGGATTCCTTTAGCTCTGTGAGTTGGACTCCTAATACACAAATAAGAGATGCAAGAAACACAGGCAAACAATTAAAACACATTGTATTAGAGATGTGTGCACTATGACTTCTGAATAATAAATATAAAACATCGGTATCTTGTCAATCACAGCGTATGCAAGATTGAATTAGCATAGTTCAGTGTCAAATGTGGGAAATCTTATTGTTTCTAAATTTCATGTACGAGACAAGCATAACTATACAGTACTCTCTGACCATAAAAAAAAAAAAAAGAAAGGAATGGTTTTAATGACAGGAAGATAATGTGACTAGCTTTATTGTTTACAAAACAGGATAGATTGTAGAATGCCCAGCTCAGATAATACTGTGGCTGAGGAAGAAGTGGTAAAAGCTTGTCTGTGACTTTTTTTTCTAGGCATCTAGAAGCGTTCTTTATTGACAATATTATTTCATAATAATATATCTTCAGATAATATATCTTCAAATCCAAGTCTTTAAAGTGGACAGGAAATCAAACAAAATACATGGCTGAAGAGTCTCCAGAATATAACATCCGTAGACATCAGTTCTGACTCTCCAGAAATTGTTGGAGATGCTTTCTACTTTTCATAGCTTAAAATGCGTAGTATAAAATGCATTCTGAGATACTAAATTTGGAAATATGAGAGCATGCATTTAAAATTAATTCCCCAAAGAAAATGGGGAAATACCTAAAAAATTTACTTACAAGTTGTTTTAAAAGATGTGGTTATCATCTCACACCTTTAATTCACAGGAGTAAGTGCTTAACTGCAACCCTATACATGATCAAAATTCTGAGTGAAAAGACTGTCATGGGAAATGAGACGAAACAAGGAATTTAAGGAAATACAAAACAATTAAGGACATACTAATCAAAGAGAAACTTTAAAATGCATGTGGACAAGCAGCAGAGATGTATTTCAGGTCTGCTTACTAAAAAGTGATTATTTCACTAAATAGTGAAAACCTCAAAGCTTATTAGCAAAGTGTCTTGAGAAGGTTTACATTTTATTTTGCTTGTCTTTAACTTGCAGAACCCAGAAGCACAACACACAGTGTCGCCCTGTGTATTGTGTTTCTTTTATTCTTTCTTTCTTTTTTTTCCAAATGTCACACTGAAACATTTTGCTGTACAGCTGGTAGTCTCTGACTGACAGAAATAATTCTTGTTCTGACAGTAATGGTAACAGCAGTCGGGCCGCTTTTGTCACATCTAGTGGTAGCTGATTATTATGAAGAATGTGGGTTTTTTTCTGCACATATTAAGCTATGTTAATATGAAGATTATCTGTTTCATTGCTGCGTACTCAGCTTCAGAGTTTAAATCTTCCCGCAAAAAGCATACTAGAAACATAACTTGTTAAATTCCCATAGCCGTCAAGCCATGGCCATCAGTTTCACGGGTAGCTGGTGTCCCTACCCAAGAAGCACCTGCAGATTGTGGGATGGACGCACAGGCTGCATCAGAGGCACTGGGCACCTTGTACCGCCCTGCAGAATTCCGTTGGGAGCTCTGAGCCTGCGGGCAGGGCGCTCCAGGCTTCCCAAGGGAAATGCAGCTGTGAAGATGGCGGAGGGTCTGTCTGCTCAGACCACCTGGCTGCAGCTACTGCTTGAAGCAAAGAATGCAGCACCACTAACTTATGCGCAACATCTTTGAAGATACATTAAAAGGCACCATCTCTAAGCGTGGTCTCCCTGCACCTCTTCAGAAAAGGGGAATGGTATTTTCCATTTAGCAGCAAAATTTCTATTTAAATCTCTGACTGCGCACCCTGCCCCTTCCCCGGGAGCCAGCGCGAG